CCGGTATGCATACCCCCAAGCCCCTCAATGCGCTCACAGCCATATTAAGCATCAAACAATCATCATCCAATATCAGAAATCTAATCCAGAATACATTTCACAAACCAAACAAATAACTTTCTCGCAACACGGCTCATCCGCCGGAAATACATTTCGTAGAGCATTTCTTGAATCATTTCCGAACTCATTTCATAAACTAGTTCGTAACGCGATATACATATGTATACTTTCACAATACATTTCCAAAAACGATTCCCAAATCATTCTCAAAATTCTTCATAAATCGATATGTATAACCTTTAACAAAAGAATTCTTTTCATAAAGAATTTCCTCAATTTATTTCACGATAATCGATATATAAGTCATTTCAAATAATCAACAGGGTAGTAAATGCCCGATCCGAGTTTTTATGCAATAACAATGCTATTTAACTCATAACATATCCGATTCATATCGCTTTCGAAATATGAGTTTACAAACTCAAAGAAGAGATATCACCACTCACCTGAAATCCCCAAAAATCATGCAACGACGCTCACTCGAACCAACGATCTCATAATCCTATCAATTAAATGAGAATCGACGTCAACATCAAATAAAACACCATTTTCACTAACGACTCGACTAAACCTAGCTTAGACGCTAACCAAAACGACTCAAACGCGCTCACAAATCGCTCCTCCAAAGCGATTATCCAAATCGTCCGCAACGCGAAACTTGATTGCGCCATAACTTTCTCCATCGAACTCCAACCCTAGCAAACTTATAGTCAAAAGAAAGCCCGTTCAGAGTATTCAAAAGCCCCAACTTGGTCGTCCCAAAATCGAGTCGAAAACCGGCAAAAACCGGCCTAAAAGCCGCTGGTCGCGCACTGTTCACCTTGTGCGGCCAACTACGAAAATTCATATCCGGCAAACCGAAAGTCCAAATCGAGTCCTGTAAATCTCACAGCCTTGCAGCACCCTAAACTACCAATTCTATGTATATTCACAGCTCAACAACTTAAAAATCGAACTTCGCCGCTCAAATAACTCATAACTCCAAAATATAAGTCCTAACCCCGAAAAATATTCCGATTGAACGAACAAGGGGCACGAATACCTACCGAGCGTGGCGATACAAAGGAATTCCGGTTTGGCGAGACTCCTGTGGTGAGCACGTGCAAAAACCCTTTCTTTCCCCCTTCTTTCTTCTTTCTTTCCTCTCTTTCTTCTTCTCGGTGAGCTCTTGCTTCTCTCAGCCGATGGTCTCATTTTTCCCCTTAACACTTCTTTTTATTCTTTTTGACTTTTCAAACTTTTTCTTTTCACTTTTCTTTTCCTTTTTTCCCTTTGACTTTTTGACCTTTAAAACCCATATTTTACATATGCAGTGGAGGCGGTTATAATGCAAAGCACAAGATATTCTCTCTATTTATAGAACTCTAGTTCGTTGTGGAATTACAAGCATCATTCAATGAAAAACTGCAACGATACATGTTCATTCAATTACAAAAGCTTTCAACAATACATATCCTGTTTCGAACAATAAAAAGTCTTTGTAATGCTATTACTAACTATAGCTAAACTCTAGTACTACCCATTTAATTCATTGAAGTGCCTCTTTTTAGGTACCAATTTCAAAAGAAGTATCTAACAATTTATATCTATGACAGCATTTTTGTCCCAGAACTGGATGCCGAAATCTTCTTCTACCCGGAGGAGAGATGCCAGAGTGGTTGCTCCCTAGCAATGAGAGTTATATATCTTTCATGGCTCCCAAGTGCTCGTATAAGAAGTTCCTAGGATTAGCTTTCGGAGTTGTATTCCAAGCAAAAGAAGAGAATGTCGAATTGCAGATTATTGCATATGTTGATAACAAATTGACGTGGAGACAGCCAACGACTTTCAGATTGGATTCGGATCATTTGTGGCTTTGTTGTTCCAAACCAGAAAACTTGTGGCGAGGAGTCGTTTTTGGTGCAAATGACTGGAGTCATTTCCAGTTTGTCTTTAGAGCATTGGGCAGTGGAATTGTGAAAAAGTGTGGATTCCGAATAATATGCAAGCCACTAGAGAATGATTTGGAGGTTTTGCTTCAACACAATCAGTTGCTGGATCCAACTTTATTTTATGAGGTGCGGCATGAAGATAGTCAAACGAGCACAGTGGACGAAATTTCCGGTGAAACAGAAGATTACAGGATAACAGAACTAGCACAAGTCGCAGAAGAAGCTGTATCAGGTAGTGCAACAAAAAACTGATGTTTCTTTCGATGAAAAACCAAGCATCTATATAAGAGAGAAATTAGTTTGGTTTCTTCACATTTTTAACACTTATCTTAAAAGAGAAGCAAGTTTTCCGCCTGTAATTCTCGTTTCTGTCTAGGAGTGACATCTGAACTTGTCTATAGCAGGGTCATTAGGGATGAAGATCAAGGAGCCACGGTTTTCTTTTCCTCCAAAGAGATATTTGCCAATTATTCTTATAGTACTGTAGCATGATCCGTAACCACAGCATAATGATTTAGTTTCCTGATGTCTGCGTTTAATATCCAAAGCTGCAGCAAATGAATGGGGATTGTAACAAGATATCAGAGAACGTAGGAGGGAGGAAATACCTGATATACTACACAAATTGCACTGAAATGAAGCACTCATGTCTGGGGTAACAAGATTGGAACCTTTCAATCAGAGCAAGAGTGAACTGAACTCACATGGAGTTTCAGATTTGAGGATAACATCTACTTCAACTATCCCTGCGTTAAATCTATTCGATATTGCATTCAGATTTGCTTTTTTGCGCTTATGTACTTTGTCATAAGTTTTTTCCTTCTGATATTCAATCATAGGATGGGAGAAGCCTGAAAATGAAGTCTTGGTGTTGAAGAAACAACTGGAGGCTGCAACTCAAAAGAACTCAACGCTGGAAGATCGAATCAGACAGGTGAGGGAAGAGCAAGAGCAGAAGATCCAAGAAGCTGTGGTCAAGAAACTCGTGAGTGGGAATTAACAAAGGCCAAGCTTGAGACTAAGCTTTTTGATGTCCATGCCCAGCTCCAAGCTGCCAAGAGTGAAGCTTCTTCAGTTATAAGTTCTGATCTTGGCCCTAAGCTTGATGCTGCTGAAAAAGAGAATGTGGCCCTCAAAGCCAAAGTCCTTTCTCTGTCTGAGGAGCTAGAAATCAGGATTATTGAGCGTGATTTGAGCACCCAAGCAGCAGAAACAGCCAGCAAACAACATTTAGTGAGCATAAAGAAGGTAGCTAGGCTTGAAGCCGAATGCTGCAGACTCAGAGCCATGTCTCGGAAAGCAACTGGGACGAACGATCTTAAGTCTTTCTCCGCATCATCAATTTGTGTAGAGTCCTTCACCAATAGCCAATCAGATGTAGGGGATAGACTGCTAGCAGTTGAGAATGACGCACAGAAAGCGAGTTGCTTGGAGCCAAATGATTGTGAGCGGAGCCACTCCAAGTATTGGGCATCTGCTCTAATAAATGAACTTGACCATTTTAAGAAAGACAAATCTTTTGGAAAGAATCTCATGGTCGCTTCAGGAGAACTTGATTTAATGGATGATTTTCTGGAAATGGAAAGGCTTGCAGCTTTACCAGACACAGAAAGTGGAAGCTGCAGCCAAGGAGCGGAGCCCGCTCTGGATCAAAACAGATCTGATGAAGTCCCTCTCAAATCCAAGCTGGAAGCCATGATCAATAGAACGGCAGAGCTGGAGGAGGAATAAGAGAAGAAGGAAGAAGAAAAGGAGAAGCTAGAGATGGCTCTAAATCAATGTCAAAAGCAACTTGAAACGTCATGGAGTCAGCTCAACGAGGTTGAGATGAGATTGGTAGAACTTCACAAGCATACCTCTAAATCAATGTCAAATACAGCTATATTTGAGCTTCACGAGTATCGGTTCCGGAGATGTCATAAATGCATTTACAATGGTGTTTGTTTATTCACAAGGCAAAAAATCAAAGCAGACACTCTTCCTATCTCACCTCACTCATTTCATCTTCCTGCCTCAGCTAGTTGAACTTCACGAGCATACCTCACTCATTTGCTGTTAGGCCAGACAAGTGATTCCAATTTCAACGAGGTTGAAACAGAAGGTTGCTGGTACTTAGCCAATGCATTCAAGGTATAAGAATACCTCATGAATTTCATAACTTGCGTAAATCAGCCACTGCTTCGTCGGATCTACACTCTGCGCATGGTATGTGGCATTATTCACATTGCGGTGTACATGCTCTGTTATCATTGGCAATGCCCGGCTGTAACACTAGGGTCAAATCCTCAGTTTGGGTGCGGGTTTCCGTGAATGGATCGGTCCACTCCACAACCTCCCACCTGTTCCATGTGCTGCTTGGGTTCTGCCCCCAAGTCAGTCTCATTCTAGCTCAGTGTTTAAGGTTGGGCTTTGCCTTTGATATAATTAATAACTTTGAGCCATGTGGCTTGGGATTGAGGTTTATCATGCATTGGTTAGAAGCAGAAGAAATGATGAAACTGAGTAGAGTTTAGTGGCATCTAATCACTATGGTTTTTTGGGCAGAGGTGAATGCTGTATTCTCTGTCATCACTCCTGAATATGTTTATTTTGCTAATTTTCCTTTGAAATTATAGTGAAAGCACTAAATGTGGAAACTACAATCTGTCCAACTGCCCCACCTGGCAACAGGGAAGCTGCAATGAAAGTAATCTCCGGGACATTTTATAGATATAATTTATTGAAGTAATAATTTTGAATGACCAATTTCCTCCATTAATTTGGAAGAAAGAGGGTGGATCACAATGTACAGCTTTTGCTATTCGTTCCAGGTTCTTTCGTCAAGGAAAGTCCAGCTGCTTCTGGGTTATTTTGTACGCAATATAAGGAAGTCGAGTGACGCTGAAGATTCTTTCTATTTCGGTGGAAACTCTGAAGATCCTGAAATGAAGAAAGAGAGTGGACCCGCCAAGGGCTTTGCGGCAGAAGATGATGTTGAGAAATTTATATTGGAACTTCAACCCGCTCAAAATGGATTACAAATTCAAATTCTGGAGGCGGATTTGGTCCTGTGGACTGTGGGCTCTAAACCTTCACTTCCCGATTTCGCTTGGTGATTCTTCTGCATTAAGAGATTCAGATGGAAAGATTCTTCCAGCCAAGCAAGAAATGCAATTCATCTATTTAAGTATGATGTTATAGTGCAACTTAATTATTTGCACCTTTCTTAGTTTTGCTATCTCCTCGCCAATTTTAGTCATTTCTTTCATGGCCTACCAGGTTGCTTTACAGTAAGCGGACTTCACTGGTTGGAATCTGTGGGCAGCAATCAATGACCGTCCTCTTCTGCCTCTTAGGTGTTTCACTTCACTTGTGCCTTTTGTGCCAAACATTTTTTATGGTTCAATCTGCTCTATTCACAATGCGGTGCCCTTGCTGGTGATCAGCATGCATGTTGTAGCTTTGATCTCACCTTCCTTCCCCCAAATTATTATGGTTCTATTAAATATGGGTGGATGTAGTAAGTTAACTTCAGTTGCACGTCGACATCCCCAGTGACAAGGAGCACTTACTGTTACCCATCATAAACTCCATTAAGTATCCTTCTGTGCTGCCTCTACTAGGGGTGAGCGCGGTTCCAGGGTAGAACCGTGAACCGGAGAACCGGACCCGGTGAGTCCGGTTCGGTTCCAGGTTCCATGGACAGAGGGTCCGGTTCTCGGTTCCCCATTTTTAGGAACCGGCTGTTCTTCCGGTTCCCAGTTCCTATAGGAACCGGAACCGGATCGGAACCGGGAACCGGAACCGGAACCAAGAACCGGGACCAGGAACTGGATCCCTAAAAATTAAAACATAAACTAAACATTTGGTATTTAGAAACCCTAATTCACCTTGTCCCTCCATCTTGTCCCTCCTACTTCCACTTCCGCGTCGCTCCTGCTTTCGCTTCTGCCTTGCTCCTTGCTCAGTCGCTCCTGCTTCCACTTCCGCCTCGCTCCCGCTTCTGCCTCGCTCCTCGCTCCCGCTTCTTGCTTTCGCCTTGCTCCGTGCTCCCGCTTCCGCGGTTCTCTCCCGCTTCCGCCTTGCTCTGCCTTCTTCACCGCAGGTCTTGTGATCTCCCCACGCGGATTCGCTACGATTATTCGGGCTCGCCGCCGTCTTCCTCCTCTGAAGCTCCGTCGCTCTGGTACGTAACGTCTTCGAACAACCCCTGCCATTCACGCCTTCTCTCTTTGAATTCCCACCGTTGCTTCTGTTCATCTTTTGCATCGATCGATTGAATTCAGTCACGACGATCGTGCCTGAGTTGCGTGAAATCGTGCTCTTGCGTGCACATTCATCTGGATTCATCGCTTAGTGAATGTGAGGAGAGGGAAAATGCGGTGGATCTGTCCCCGATTGAATGTGAGGAGAGGGAAGGGGGGGGGGGGGAAACATTTGGGTATCATCTGTAGAAGCTCTGATTTGGTTGCTATCAGAGCCAATGGCAAAGGGGAAAAATATTTTCATTATGTAGCTATTTTCTGTTCAAATTCAGGGAAATGAACTAAAGAACATTTGAGGGAGAAGAGGAGATGTAGATTTATAATTGTTTTATCATGATTGGGGACTTAAGTTGCTGTTCTTTGTAGCATGTGAAGATAACTTTACTTCTTGTTATTAGACAATATCAGTCACACCTTAAAACATTCTCCTAGAAATGCAGGGCGATTGTTAGGGCCTCTCTCTTTTGTGAAAGTGTCTTTTAAGGATGTGGTCAGTTATCACTGTGGATCTTTACATGAGCTTCTCGATGGTATTTTGGTCCTTGGGGCCTGTGACAATTTTATTGGGCTCATCCACTAAAGTGTAGTTTGTTAGACTTTGGTTCGAGTTAAACAAAGTATGTATTTTCCACTGAATTTCTTAAGATGAATGGATATGTTTATAAAGTCTTTATCTGCTAACTTCGTCTTCTTTTTTCCGTACGTTGTGTTTAAATTGAACTGCAGGTTTAAATTATGCTCTAATGTGCATTGTCACAGATCCGTGATTTCGTTGATTGTATGTTTGATCACCGAACCATTGGAAATATTCTTGTGATGTCAATTGCCGCACAAAGCTTGAGTTTTGTTTGAATAGAAAGCAATGTCGTGCTGTTTCATTCGGGAGAATTAATTATAGCTGGCTGATGAATATGTTCAAACAAGCTATATGAGATATACCTGGGTATTTAGTATGAGCACATGTACATTTTATTGTAGATGTAGGACAGTTAATTAATGGACCACCGGTAATGAATATTCAAAACAAGCTATATGAGATTTACCTGGGTATTGGTTCTGCCGGCTGGTGCTGCATGTCCTGTTGGTGCTGAAGGCAAGTTAAGCTCTTCCAGATCAGATTCCTTATCAGGTTGCAGGTAAGAAGGAACTCCAACTTCTGATTCCATTCCCATGTCTGCTTCCAAAGCGTAAAGCTCTGCATTGCAAAATTGGCAAGGATGATGCTGGCATGCCGAACTAAGATCTCTATTTATCTCATCATAATTTGTTACATTTTTTTCAAATATAAGCACAACAGATGCACCTGGACAACAATATTTGTCTGGGTCCATGTAATACATACAATACAACTCGTTTAATGCCTCTTTTCTACTGAAAATAAAATTGGATGAAGAGCCACATCCATGTATCTAGCAGGTACAGTGGGTAGAGTACCTTGGGAATGAGCATTTATTCTTACAGTAGTCTACCTTCACCAAGATCCAAGTCTTAACTCTTAAATAAGATTACCAGCTCTCACTCCCTATGCTAAACTAGCTAAAGACGGTGCTAATCTGTTCTCGTGTTGTTTGCTTGGCCAGCATTGTTTGATTGACATATCAACTATCAAGAATTCAAGATAACATGTCAATGGAGGTTGATGGATGTGAGGAGATGACTCCGAACACAGAATTTGAATTGTCGAGCGATGAAAATGAAGAAGAGCCATCCCCTACCACGAGTGCAACAAACAAGGTACTTGGTTCTCATCGTCCTCCTCTTAATAAGAAATATACATCCGATTGCTGGAATCATTTTGCAAGAATCAAAGATGGGGATGGAAAAACATATAAGGTGAAGTGCATTCATTGTGGGTCTGAGTTAAAGTACAATGTTGCTCATGGTACTTCCACAATGAGGAAGCACTTGAAAACATGTAAGAAGTTTCCTTGCAATGTTGATAAGAGGCAGAAATTCTTTGCACCGCGTAACGTAGACTTGGCTGACAAGGCAAGGGGAGGTTCTAGTACTGGTGGTGTCTTATCGACATGGTCATTTAATCAAGAACGTTGTAGGCAAATGCTTGCTCGGTTCATCATAGTTGATGAACAACCGTTTTCCTTGGTTGAGCGTGTTGGATTTCGCGAGTTTGTCACCGAGTTACAACCTCTCTTTAAACATTTGTCACGTTTTACAGTGGCTAAAGATTGTATGAAGCTATATTTCTGTGAAAGAACTTGTCTGAAGACTTACTTTGGTAAGATAAATTCTAGGATCGCACTCACGACCGATACATGGACTTCCATTCAAAACCTGAATTATTTGTGTCTCACTGCACATTTTATTGATGAAAATTGGAAGTTGCATAAAAGAATCATCAATTTTGTGGTGATGCCTAGTCACAAGGGTAGGGAGATTGGGAGAATGGTGGAGAAATGCATCAACGAGTGGGGAATAGAAAAGAAGGTATCCACAATCACCGTGGATAATGCTAGTTCGAATGACGTTGCAATTGATTATTTGAAGGAAAAACTTTCAAGAGAAAATTTGTTGATCTTAGATGATAGTGTTTTACATATGAGGTGCACCGCTCATATATTAAACTTGATTGTTAGAGATGGCTTGATTACGGTACGGGAATCTATTGCACGTATACGAAACGTGATTAGGTATGTGAGGAGTTCTCCCATGAAAGCCAATACATTTAAATCTTGCATTGAGGGTGAAAAGATTACTTACAAGGGTTCGGTTATTCTTGATGTTGCCACTCGATGGAACTCCACTTTCCTCATGTTAGACACCGCCATAAAATTTAGAAAAGCTTTTGAAAGGATGGAAGAAGACGATTCAGCTTTTGCCAGTGAGCTTAACCATGATCTTCCTAAAGATGATGATTGGGAAAATGCCATTATTCTTTCGGAATTTCTAAAAATATTCTATGATGCCACCAATTGGATGTCGGGGAGTTCATATGTTACTTCAAATGATTATTTTGAAGGGATAGCTCTTTTGTATAAAAATTTGAAAGATGCGACTGATGCTTCGGATCCTAAGCTTCAAGCTATGGGTATGAAAATGAAAGAGAAATTTGACAAATACTATGGGAGTTTGGATAAAGTGAATATGTTGGTGTTGATTGCGGTTGTGTTGGATCCTAAAGCCAAGTTGAGTTATGTGAATTTCTTGTATGGACAAATTTATGATGATGAATTGAAAGTCAATGAGATGCATTACAAGGTGAAGGTTGCATTGGAGCGTTTATATGAATTTTATGAACAATCTTCTCTTGCTTCAAGTGATAGAAATTTTGGTGCCCAAAGTTTGAGTGCTAGTAGTAGTGGTTCCAATGCCGATGCCGGTGGTAGTGAAGGTAGCAAGATCAAGAAGTATGACGCCCAAGCTTGGCGAAAAACCTTTATGCACTCGAACCAACATATGTGCAATGACAACAAATCTGAGCTTGATCAATATCTTGAAGAAAAAAATGAAAATATTCTTGATCTTGACCTTTTGATGTGGTGGAAGACTAGTGGCTCAAAATATAAAATTCTATCTTTGATGGCTCGGGATGTTTTGTCTATTCCCGTAACTACTGTTGCTTCGGAGTCGACTTTTAGTACATCGGGTCGTGTGCTTGACAGCTTTCGAAGTTCTTTGACTCCCAAAGTAGTGGAAGCTTTGATTTGCACTCAAGATTGGTTGAGAGCCGTTCGTGTGCCGATTGATGTTGAAGAGTGCATCGAAAATGCAGAAAAATTTGAGATGGGTAAGTGATGTTTATATCTTTATATATTGTAATTCCTTTTATATATCTAATAAGTGAATATTTTATTTAATCTTTCTTTTTTTAGATATGGATTGTCTGAATGAGGAGATTATCGTCAGTAAATAGAGTTTACCAGTTGAAGCGGAATGAATATATGTGGTAGGCTTTCTAATACTTATTTTATTTTACCAATAAATTGATATGGATTGTCTTAATACTTTGGTTGTCTTTGAATGAGCAGCTAAGGTCGTCTCTTTGCAATCATGTAAATGCCTGAAGTTGCAAAATATTATTCAGAGCCTCTTTATCTCCTTGGCTTGTTCTTCCTTTTTTTTAATTTCTTTTGAAATCATGTTATATATGAAAATCTTACTTCTTTACTATTCTTGTTATGCAGTCTTTGAAACTTCATGTGTTGAAGCTTTCTGAAAATATAGATCAGCTGAAACATCAGTTGGTGGGTGATACTATTTCCCTTCTCTCAATTAGGTTAACAATATCGAGTTATAAGATAAGATGTTTTGTTTGCCAAGATAGAGACATGGAAAGGAGGTACTTTTTGCACCCATAAATTTCTGGAAAGTGTCTGCTTCTTTTTTATGTCATACAATGTTACTATGTTACCTTCTGAGATTAGAGTTGAAATGTGTAACGAATGAAAGTAAACCCTTTGATTAGATTCTGCTGTTCTAGTGTTGCTAGTATTACTGGTCTGGGGTCATAGGACCTAGAATTGAATCTTGGAACTCCATCCATCTAATGTATGGATTCCTGATAACTGAAGAAACCATTTAAAATGCAAGGATACTTATGCTTTGTTTGGAAGATTTTTTTTCTTGGGGCGACAAAGGTGGGGGTTACACAATGTCGAGGAGAATTTGAAATTTCTCTCACAAAAATTGTAAAATTTGGTCCCGACTTTTTACCTTGCCTCTCATTTTCTCCCCTTCCCCATCTTCGAAACAAAGTTTAAAAGCCAAATAACGCAGACTTCTGTTTTGAAATTTACATTCTTAAAAGTTGTGTCAGGCTGTTATTCACCATAATTGTGGTGTTTTTGGATGTTCCTCTGAACTGTCAGAAAATGAATAGTGATCTGCATCAGAAAATAGAAGAGCAGCATGTTTAACTTCTTTGCCCTTTCAGTTTGATAGTCTATTTTCTATCTTAATGGGCCACATTAATATCAAGCTTCAAGTCTGATAGAAGCAATCGTGTGATGAAAATCTGGTGAACTTGTAGGAAATAATATGGGTCAAGATGGATTCGGGATGTGTTTTGCACAATGAAGGCCTGTATCATTCTGCCAATTATTTGTGCGTGCCTTTGACCTCGTGGTTGTTTAAAGGAGGAAGAAATTTAATGCCGGAGTGGATACCGAAGAAGCTTTTGGTCTTCTACTTTTGTGCTTTTGCAGCATGTATGGGGAGAAAGGTGATATGTATTGAGAAAAATGTAGCATCTTACCTTGAAATTTAAAGTCATATGTATTGCATCCCAACAATTACTATTTATCGTGCTATCCCCTTTCTTTTAAGAAAAAATGTGACTTTTCTATAATTTGTCTTTTGTATTCTTTTTGATGAATGTTCATTTTCGTTTTGATTAACTAAAAAAAAAATTTAAAAAAAAAGAACCTGTTGGAACCTGGAACCGACCCTGGAACCTGTGACAGGGTAGGTTCCAGGTTCCACGTTCCGACGGGTAGGTTCCAGGTTCCTCATTATGAGGAACCTGTACCCGAGGGTAGGTTCCAGGTTCCAGGCGGAACCTATCCGGAACCTGGAACCGCTCACCCCTAGCCTCTACTAGTGTGTGAATTTTTATTTTTCGTAGCTTATACTGGTACACCTGTAGAAGCTTCGGATGTGTGACTGGTGCATGATTCTGTAACTCTACTTTTCAGGTTTCAGAACTTGGGCGAGATGATGACACTGGGAAGAAACGATGCTGCAATTTCACCAAGTTTCATTGATGGATTAACTCTGGAAGGTCCAGTTGGACATGCAGGTTATTTTCTCTGCCTCTGTCACCCTGGTCCTTCGAAAAAAAAATTGATGTTCATCCATATGTTTCTGCATTTGCAGCGAGGAAATTTGCATATCTGATAAGATTGCCCACGGATGAGCATCGAATTAAAGTGGGAATAAGTTGGCTTGCTAAGCCCGCCATAGATTCAGTCGCGTCACTTCAGAGCACCCTTACGAGAGTTCTTTCAGGCTAGCAAATCATTTTTTCATCCAAGCTCTAATTTTTTTTTATTAAACCATTGGCAGTTTTTACCTCGCTTGGTAGTCATGTTAGAGGAAAAGGAATTTGACAATGATAACTCACCAGTTGTGCAGGTCTATAGCCTGACGGTCAACTTCTAGATAACACGTAATTAAAAGTTCCTATGGAAGATCAATTATCATTGTTATAGTGTTTAAGACCTCAGAATCATTTTAAATATCATGTCATATATTCATGATACTCTATGCACGTACTATTTTGTTTGTTTGGATGGAAAATAATTTGTTGCATAGAAACACGTAGAAACGAATCATATGAAGAGGGTAGAGAGGAATGAGTGGGCCAGCGAATGTACGAACACTTGCTGCTCCGACCAGGTACTAGAATCGGCATAATTGGAGCAATTTGATATGAAGCAAGGACTAAGAATCTTATTACTGTATTGGTTCAAAGCTTGTTGCAGTATGATCAAGAATGGTACTTTGGTTATGAAAGATGCATATACCATTCGATGATCTACATGAAGAACGTTAATTGACAATACAAAAAGAGGTAGCCTTTGGCATTGTGCAATTGGATGAAGTTACTGCCATATGTCAGGCATTGGGGGTTGATGTATCGATGCTCAAGTTTCCCCGAACAGTACAATTGAGCGAGCTAATAACTGGGTTGTGTTGCATGACTTATCATACAACTGGTGAAGATAAAAAGGAAATCGCAACCAAATTTTTTGAAGGAAATTGAGATTTGAAATATGAAAGTTGACAAATAGATCAACAGTTACACGACATTACCATGATAATTGACAAGAGACACATGTTGACACCCGTATTTTTGTTGACCATCCAAGCGTGTAATTTTGCAAAAATATAAAAGTAGCAAAATAAAAAATACAATAATAAATAAGAGAAAGTAAAGCCTGATAGTCCATATACACAGCCCAATTCCTAGGTCCGGCCGAAATTCATTTGCCCATTGGCCCATGAAATTTAGCCTTTAAAGCTTTTATAAGTATTTGGGCTCATTAACCCATAATACTTCAGCCCACTATACCGAAAAACCCAAAATATCATTGAAATCAATCTGAGCAAGTCCTCATTATAAATAAATAAAAAAAACCTGAACAAGTCCATGGCCCATCAGATAGCCCAGCACTCTTTACTTCTTACTTTTGCCTTACTTCTTTTTTTTTATTCGAAACCTTTGCCTTACTTCATGTTTACTGGAGAAGGCATGGTATGGCTGAAGACAACAAGAACGCGCGTCAATGGTGAGCGAGTGCGGGTGAGAAAAAGAGGTAAGCAAATCCAAGAGTTTCTAGAAGAGGTGTTGAGCTGGAGGTTGTTGAAGCAGAGAAGGCCGGTGGTAATATAACAGAATTGGTTCTCGCTCGCAAGGGGGAGAGGTTCGGGTTTTTGGCCGAAGGGGGAGAAACGAACGCATTCTCTCTGAAAAAAAAAAAGACAGGACAAATCATCGTTCCTTGAGGATCCATTGCTTTCCGGCTGTGTCGGTCTCTGCCGGTCGTCGTTGATTTGCCATCGTCAACTCCAGTTCCAAAAGAACGATCTATTCTGTGTTGCTTGCCTTCGTGCATCGAGGTTCTCAAATCATCGAAGATCGTACGTTTGCTTCATCCATTTTCTGTGATTCTGGCCATAGGCGTTAATCAGAATCTTCGTCTCCGATCTAGCTGCCGATTGCAACTCCTTCATAGCTCACAGACAGGTAATGTTCTTCCCCGGTTCTTCTCTGTTTCGAATGAGGTGTGAACGTCAAGCCGTATTAATGATGTTTGTGTGTAGATAATCAAGAGACAGAAAAGGAAAGAAATCAACTAACCTTTCGATGCACAACAAAAGAATTATCCGGGAATATAGATTGAATCACCAGTGAGTAATGAACGAATCTACAACTTCACAATGGTCCGAATATAATCATAAGGTAAATATTTTTGTTCCACAACGTTAATGCCGATCATCTTCTCAAAGTAACGGTGGAGACCTTTTGTGTGTTATTTTGATAGAAAGGAGAACAAACCTTTTACTGTACGTTCTTTTCTGTATATATATTTTTTTCCTCTCATCAGAAAGTTATTTTTAACTTCCCTTAAAAGACAACCGCTCACACCTCTTCAAAGGCTGCCTCTCGAAACACACCCCATCATGGGCGAACCACTGAAATATAACATTTCCCACTCGAACATAATGGGCTTGATAAAGCTCTATCAAGAATATAAAACATTCAACATTCATCTACTTTAGAAACAATTCGTACTGGCAAAAAGGTCTTGCGACCAGTGAGTACACTTGCACTTTGAGGTCAAATTATGCACCTGTCAGGGATAACATAATGGCTATAACCCAAAAAGAAGAAATAAGTAAATAATGTCTCACAATGTCCCAGACATATTTTGCTACATCAATCTAAGTATACCGATCCCTTAAAGGCTACACTTGACCTTTCTAAAAAAGCACCATGTATTCACAATTATTTCCGAAGCCACAAAAGCGATATAATTGGTCGACCAATAAACACACGTGATTGATGTAAAACACCAATAGTCTTCCTTTGCACTCATATCTCTCTTCATTTCAAAAAGGAAAGCTTCCTAATTGAATGGTTTCCTAGTTGGAAAAGGTTTCCTAATTGGAGAAGGTTTCCTAAAAAGAGGTTTCTTAATTTAGATCCAATTCTTGCTTATAAATAAAAAGGGGATGTTATTTGTGAACATCATTAAAGATGAGCTTCTGTTAGTGAATTACACTCTGAAGATATCCGAGTGTGTTGTAGTCGATTAAATTCTTGTGGTAAGAATTTGCATATAATTCTTTCGCGAGATTCAGAGATTATTTCGTGAAAAATTGTAGGGCTAAACACTATGTGAGTTATTGGGTGTAATTGGAGCTTGAGAAACACTGAGAGTGTTTGACTAACTCGTTGTATCGCTTGATTTATAGTGGAATTCCGTACTACTCTCCCCGTGAACGTAGGTCACTACGACCAAACCACGTAAATCTGATATCCGATTTATTTTCTTATTCTGTCTATTTTATTATTCGATCGCTTGACTTCCGAAACACACACGATGAGTAAATAGGGATAATTTCATTCACCTCCTTAATCGGTCGTATAAAACACATGTAATATGAATTACATGCCATAGTGGATTTCTTTTTCTATAAGAGCGTATATCATTTATTAAACATATCCACTATACGGATCTTAGCCTAAGCATAGTCACATGATTATCATCTACATATGTTTAACTCGAGTGCTATATCAGCTTGCTTTCTACAACGCCTAATTAAGTACTTGCATCCAGCTTCCATCGGGCATACATGATTGTGGGGCTATCATGTTTGGTTTTATCACATACAAATCACAGACCTTATCTTGATTCTAACCAAGGTGACGTAAAATTATATTATGTACTAAATTTTCTCTATCATCATTTATAGTACATACAGTCTCATCTCTTACTATAGCACTTGAGGTGATTACTCGTGTGAGTGAGCCAGTCATTGCCTGATGACATACCTTTCAGCAATTTATGTGTGTTTGTGCTAGTCTCGCAACAGATTGTACTAGTTGATGAAAATATCAATTCATTAAAAATAAACAAGTACAATACATATGTTTACATATACATAATCCAATGATCCTCAACAATATTACATGTCATATTTTACGTAACCCCAGAGACATCTTGTGGATCAAGAACACGTCTTTAGAAACAGCCTTCATGAATGGATGGCAATTGTTGTAAATCGGCGACACAGCGGAAGTGGATGGTAACTTTGCAATTAAGAAGGGAGCTATAGAAATTTGACATAGAAAAAAAACGATGAACAATAAAAGGACACGAGAAATTTTACGTAGTTTGGTCCGAATGTTAAAACATACGTCCACGGAGAGAGCCAGCAAATAATTCACTAATAAATCAGAGAATTACAGAGTTACAATCACTCACGCTCAAGTATTTCCCAGTCCTAGTATATACCCAATACCCACAATGTTTAATAACTCAACTCGATAGACTCGACTCCACACAAATCTCTCCGAGCTCACGCCTCTGTTATTAATTCAGTTTAATCATTCTTTCTTCTTTCATTTTTTTCTCTTCATGTTTTGTAATTTCATGAAGAAAACCAAAATCTATGGTTACAACAATTCATGAATTCACACACAATGAAAATCAGTACGCTGCTCCATATATAGATGGCAAAAATAATTAACAAAATTAATAATTTATACAATATGATTTTGCGGTTTGATTTGGTTTCAAAAAAATTGAAACCAAACCAAACCCCGAAAAACATTTTGATTTGATTTGTGATCCGTTGTTTTTTTTTCCCGAAAAAGTAATTTTAAACCGAACCAAACTGCAAAAAGCTGTTCAGTTGATTGCTTTAACTCGAACCATTTTTTACTCACCCCTTACTTTTTGTTCCGCACGACATGTTGGTTCAAGTGCGGTATCTATTTATACTTGCGGCATATTGTAACGCACTCCTACAATAGATATAATTTAATGCAATTTGTGTAATAAAAGAATTCGCCAATCGTGTCGTTTGGAAAATCCTAAATTTACGAGATTCATATGTACTATGTTTAGATCTACTGGAGTTGATCTTATAATGTTGGATAAGGAAGCTTAGCTTTGATACCTTGACTTTCATGAAGCTACTCAGATATCATTTGTCCGCTATTTTGGCGTGAATGTAGTTGTAGCAACCCAAGAATATAACAAAAAACGTATACAGCTAGCATAACACATGCACACTTCCCGCGCCATTGTCTCTACGTGCCGGAACTCGGTCGCAATTCGTTTCATTAATCCTTGAATATACTTTTTTTTTTCACATTCACTTTATGCTCACATGTACTAAATCAGGTGTTGATTTTTAATATATAGATGTCATCCATTATATCCATAAAGAGTAGTTTTACCTTAGGTAATAACAATGGAAAATTTACTGAAATCATTGACTGATAGTCAAACACGATTAACATTAACTTTATAAAATACCGTCTTACATATGTCAATCATCAGATCGAGTCTAGCTAAAAACAGAATTGTTATATCCATATTGCATTGTCAATACACATTCACCTGCTTGACGCAGTCCAACTTCCATAAGTTTCATTTTCTCTGCTCAAGCCTAGAAATACAAATTCACCAGGTATGAAAATACGAAAGTTTCTTGGCTTTTGTATATTCCGAAATTGCCCATGCATTTTTCATTTAATATATGTAATATTAAGATATCATCTAAATATAGTAACCTATAAACCTTTTGTTTTTTGTCTAACAAGTGTATTTTTGGACTTTGGAGCTCCTACAAGGAGCTCGGCAGGCCCCTAGTAGGCCCACCTGGAGACCCCCCCTAATCCGGAGGAAGGGAGTTTCGAACTCCCCACCTACCCATTCCCATGAGAGAATAGTGGCTATTAGGGCAAGCCTCTAGTGTTGGTACAAACTGTTTATCTTGCTTGGTTTTGGAAAGTACAAATAGTTTTTTACACCTCAAAGCTCACCAACTACTATAATGATCCACTAACAGTTTTTCGGGAAATTACAAAAAAAATTCTTAAATTTATTAAACAGATGTCAATCTAGTCATAAACTTTTCATTTTGGATAATTCTAAAAAATTATATAAGTTATCCATGTCAAGCCGTCGTTCAAGTCAGCAATTTTCGACCCAAATTAGCCGGAAATCTCTTAAAGAGAGCTCCTTCGGTATATCCGGTAGCAATGGCTCACCTTCGCATCCCAATCCCACACTCACAAATGGAAAATGGGAGTTTCTTGTACCCATCGATTGAGTACTTTATGGCTGGGTCCCAGAAGGGTGGTGTAGCGTCGTGGAAGCGTTTCATGACCGGATGGAGTGTAGGGCTCACTTCAACATCATTGTAGCACCACACTGCAATCACACCTCCCAGTTTCCGAAGCAGACGGGTCACAGGGGAGCAGAAATTGGGGAAGTCGAACCAGTGCACGGCTTGTGCCACCATAATTAAATTCACTGAATTTTCGCCTCTGATTAAGGTCACAATTTCGTCGTTGGAGATGGGTATTGGGGTGTGGATGTAGCGGACCCTTGGATGCTGCATGGCAAATTTTAGGTGGGCTGCGCTCGCGTCCGTGGCAATCAGCTGGTCTTAGTGCTCAGCTACCTATTTTACAAGCAGGTGCAGGGCATATGAACAGAGTCGTACGTAACAACAACAATCCGGTAGTAATGAAAGATATTGAGCTTTGAAATTGATGGCCAGTGATCATTTTTGGACTCTATGTGATAAACTTGATAAGAAAATTATTCAGACAATTTAGAACTTGGAGAAAGATCTATCATCATAAAGCGGGGAGAAGGGAAGAGAAGCCCATTTAGGGCAAAAACGAAAGGGAAATGAAGCTTTGGAAGACACTGACACGGGCAGAACTTCAGTTTTGAAGTTCACATTCAAACAAACACTAACAGGATTTGAGATAAATTACGTGAAAATGGAGGATGAGCACCTTCAGTTTAGCAATTAGTAAGTCGATATGCAGCCAATGCTAGCCCCAAACAAAATCAAATCAAATAAATCATCTTCTCAGTATCAATGAGGAGTTGAAAGTAGTTCTGAGAGATTCAGGTAAGTGTTGAAGTGAAGCAAAGTCCTAATATTCACCCAGGATAAGCTAATCCCGCTCATTCTCTACACCTTCTACGTCTAGTCAATTACCCCCAAAAACCAAATGAAAAGAAAATATTGGTACAAGGTGAGTATGTGAATGAATGATGCTCCTCAAAATCCTCTTTGGCGAGACATGCATTCAGCATTATATTATTCATGGAAAGTGTCAAATTTCGCATGATCTGCGATCATATCTGGCCAACCCCATTTTTTGGCAAAGATCCAGAAGATGGGCTAACCACGTCACGATTCACGATCAATGTTGGTTCGATCGTATCAACACAAACATTAAACTTGCTACTAATCTTGCGCGCAGAGTGAAAGAGAGAGAGAGAGAGGACTGACGCCAAGGGCAGCTTGGCCATTGCTGGTGCCGACATCCCAGGTGAGAGAGTGACGAGGAGTACGAGAGGGAGCATGGAGTACCAGTGTGCTGAAGTACGTCGGGCGAGTGTCTACGTAAATCTCCGCTTGCTTGTCGAGCAGATCAACCATCTCTCCTCCCGATCGGCCTCTGCCCGTGTCGTATTTGCCTTGGATCTTAGTTTCTGCTTTGTTCGTTGCGCTGCCTAATATTATTCTCAAAACATTATCGTTTTGATTCATATCGACAGTCTTATATTTTCAGACGACGATGCGGGATTTTTGCATTTTCAATATATGCTCCTGCCACAGCCGTTTATAAATAAAGCAATTATTTTCTCCATAATTCTTTTTTGTTTTTTTTTTCTTTTGCCCAACCTCCGTATTAATAGTTCAGTCTCCTCCTTGTCGTTCTTCCCCGTCGAACCAAAGTATTCCTGATGCTCTCCAATGAAAAATACCGTGATCCGGAATGAGCCCTCGAGAAAAGGAAGCAGATAGAAGGATTTAACGGCATAGTGAAGTTCTTTATTTCCTTATCGTATTATTCACCCACATACAAACTCATCGAAATCCATCTGGTACATCGGGAAGAACGGAAAAAAAGCTGTATAAAAAAACTTTTCTAGCTAATTTTAGCTTCACATTAACCTGCGGCTATGAATCCTAATAATTTGTCTCTCCGTGCCCCGTAACTCCGCCACGATTCGTCACATTAAGATATCAACTAATTAATGGTCTACCAACTCTTAATTTTGCTTGACATTGAAAAGTATGAACTTTTCTTCATAATTCGAAGATTACTAACTACTTTAATAATTTGTCAATGTTTACTATCGTGAGTCACCAACGCCTTTGAAGTTATTGACTTTTATTTGAAATCACCGATCTTAATTTGACTGATGTGCCAACATTTATCGCATCCAATACCAACTAATTTTAATCACAGACCAACTTTTAATCTTCCTAAATTTCGAAGAGTGTCAACATTTCTAGAGAAATTTTGTGAAACCACCCGTCAATTGTTTTAGAAGTTTGAGGTAGCTAGCTGTTAGATGATGAAGGCCTGATTTATTTTCCATTTGAAATGCGAATTCACTCGAGAGCATCAAATTTCATAGCGATGGCAACATGCCCCACATCAATGTACCTCTCCTAATTCCAACACGTAAAGCAAATGGAACCTTGTAGCTCACGGGTAGAGCGGCCAGCCTTATCCAAAGTTTCAAACAAATGGGAAGTAGGGTGGGATTGTTAGCTTACTTCTCATCGTATCACACTTGCATTTTCAGCATTTTTCACTCTGACTCGACTCAATGCTCCATCAAGTTTCGTATCCTCTGCTCAAGCCTAGAAATACAAGAAATCTCAAAATCCCTAGAAATCCATCCCCGAAATCCTCCTTATCGAGCAGCGCCAGGTGTCCCTCGGATCCCCAACCAACGCTCTCTTGAAAGGAAACGGCAAAGGCCATGTATTGGTCGGAGTAGTTTCTCTAGTCAGACCAAAGGTAGGGCCAACTTTGAACTCGATGGCCCCAGATGGGGCTTATGCCTCCTGGCTTGCGAAGGACGTAGTTCACGAAAGATGTCATATTGATCGCCGAACCACAATGTCATTGACTTACCTTGGAGAAATGGGCACTAAATCCTCAGAGCAGACCAAGTCCCTGTTCAATATGCATTCTTTTTTCTCTGCAGTACTTGTTTCTTGACAGGGATTTCCATCCAAGTTTGATGAAGAGTATGGAAGTCATTTATCAAGCCATCAGTTAACAAACTAGAAAAGCTTGCAGATACCGTCTAATATGCTTGAGAAACATGTCGTGAGTCTCTCCGAACAATCCGGTTGGGGGACAAAACTCATTTCTCCTGAGGTTTCGGACCTACAATAGCAAGGCATCATTAAGTTCTACGAGTTCCATTAGTTCGTATGACATGATGATAGAGACTCTGAAATGAATCCATTTAATGCTCAAGGTGGAGAATTCCAACGACCAAATGCTGTCGAACATGAGATTGATCATTAATTGAACGTTTTAGATTCGGTTCAACACTCAAGTAACCAAAAACAGAATTTGGCCAACATGTTTAGGAGTTCTAACGAGATTATTATCATTTCGACAAAAAAAAAACGAGATTATCATCTATGCAATTATCCGTCAGAAACTCCTCCCAGTGGACCTTCCAGTTTTATGTTTGAGAACAAACAAAACAGGGGAAAGGGCACTGTCCAGTGCGTGCAGTTTGTGAATAGTAAGTAGAAGACGCACCTTGTATGTCTCCAGCTTGTGGCACGTCGTCTCCATTCATCAAGGCCCTCGATGACTTGTAGCTCGGGGATTTCCTGGATTTTTAAATCCTTCAGGTTTTTCAAGTTTGATAAACCGCCAAGCCTTCTCATAGAATAGCACTTTTCGACTGAAAGCTTCTCCAAAGATTCCAATGCACCGAGAAATCGAATTTCAACTAGCCTTGCACAAGAAGATACCTCGGCTTCTTTTAGTTTCGCTATGGTTGACACAATGCACAATCTCACGAGGAGTTCACACTCCGACACGGTCAACCTTTCCAACTGTGGAAGGCCATCGAGATGCATTTCATTCACTCGAGTGGCAAAGAGCCTCAATTCTATCAAATTTTTCAAGTTCGACGATAGTGAATCTATTGAATTGACATTTTTCAGTTCCAACTCCAGCAGAGACGATGGAAGTTTCCTGACGGTTTGCAGGTCTAGTCCAGTTAAAGTAAGCTGGCTGAGCAAAGGAAGAGAACTCAGCTCTGTAGGCGGTGAGGGGACATTTAAAATGCACAATTCCAACTTTTTCAGTTTGGATAGCTTCCCGATCCACTGTAAGTCACAAGTTTGAATTACATTTGAAGGGTTCCCATTTTCAGAGCCATCAGATAGGAGCAATTCAACTAAATTTGTAAGGTTTGAGATGTTAGGGACTATCTGTATAGACTTGGATTTCAGACGCAAAACGATTAAACTGTCGGGAAGCCCCGGCAACTCTTGAATCTCATCACAACCTTCTAAGTCCAGTGTTTGGAGGGGATGAAGCTTGCTGATAGTCCCAGGCACCCTAACGATCCGAGTATGCTTTAAGCTTAAGATTCTTAGCAAGGACAATTCTCCAATTTCAGGAGGAACTTCACCCTCTAGCTCTGGAAAATAATCCGCGTATAACTCTTCTAGATTCCTTAACCTTCCAATGATGCTAGGTAACTCCCATCGTGCTGCAAAATGACCCCCACCTAACAATTTGAATACTCGTAAAAATTGTAAGTTTTCCATGAAGGTGGGGCGTTCCTCAATCACATTGTGACTTACATGGAAAGACGAAAGACTCTGTAAATCATTGATGGAGTTTGGAAGTCCGGCAATTGGCGTGGATGAGATCTTGAGAGTTACCAAACGTGTTAGTCTACCAATAGAATCAGGTAATCTCGTAATCATCGTGGACGATACATCCAGCTTCATCAACAATGTTAATTGCGAAACAGAGTCAGGAAGTTCACTCAAGCTGGAACAGTCCCTTACAGAGAAGTATTGAAGATTTAGTAGATCTCCAAGTTTCTCAGGCAAATCTTGAAGTTTCTTGCACGAGTTAATATTCAAGTGAATGAGGCACCTTAGATTCCCAATGGAGCGATCAATTTTTACCAAATGAGCACAATGTTGAAGAGTCAATCTTTCTAAAGTTGAGCATTCAGGAAAACTAGGTGTTCTAGTTATGCCCAAACTATGTTCGAGAGTGAGAACTTTCAATTTCTTTCCCTCCTGCAAAAGTGAATGAACCACAAGACAAACGGTTAATTGCAAAAGTATTGCAATAGAGAGACCAAAACCGTTTTGATTCTTTCTTAAATTGAGACAGTTTTTCTGCTATAGGTTAATGCTAACATACCTTGATTAGGCTTTCCACCAAACCATCTGTGATTTGATCTCCTGAAAGCTCTGCCACTACTAGATTCTCTAGACACAAATTGGTTGCTTTAAAAACTCGAGTTAACCAAGAAGGATAATCCAAGTAACGCCAACGAATCCACTTCAATTCTGAAAGACAACCTGTAAAGTCCCCCTCGCAGGATACATCTCTTAACCAAAGGAACCACAGATGTTGAAAGCGTCTAAGCTCATCAGGAGTAACGATAACACGAGCATCTTCCCAAATTTCTCCTTGCAGTTTGAGTGCTTGAACATTTTCCTTACTCTGCCAATCCAAGCAAACAATGAGGTTATGTCTGCACAGTTTGTGTATTTCACTTCACATGTATCTTAAGCAATGATTTTCAAGTAAGGCGCACTTTACCTCTGTTGATCTCAATATGTTAAGGGCATCATCATCATTCCAAACCCTACTTCGCTTGATTGGGTGCTTTAGATTTTCTTGACGAACAATCGCCCTTCCAAGATCTCTAAATTGATCATGCATCCAAAACTTACTACCATCTAAAAGCTTTATCATGGACATGTTGATGAGGACATCAATACCATGTCAGGGGCTAAAGTCACAATCTTTCCACACGTAAATTGGGTTAATCTTCTCCTCATTGATGAGAAAGCATGCAATATCAAGAAATATCTGTTCATCACTATCTAAGGCATCATAACTGATCCTCAACTTTCCCAAGACATCCCTATGAGGCGTTCTCCTTAATTTGTCCAATGTTTCTTCCCAGTATTTTCTCTCTTCGTGATGAGAAAGCAATGCACCTATTACTTGAAGAGCTAGAGGCAACCCTCCCGTGGTAGAGACGATGTCTTTTGAAAGACTGTAGTAAGGATTTAGAGGAGAGTCTCTGCCAAATGCATGCCTAGAGAAAAGCTGAAGTGCGTCTTCATCATTCAATGCCTCCATTTCATAAGATAGGATTTCATACTTAAATCCTTTAATTTTCAAAACCCTTCTTTTCCTAGTGGTAACAAGTATCCTAGTTCCAGGATACAGAGAATTCTTCCCAATTAGATCCTCGATTTGCTCGCTCTCATCGACGTCATCGAGAACAATGAGCACCTTTTTATTGCCAAGTATTTCTCCAATCGTGTTCATTCCATAATCAGTTCTGTCGATGTTGCGAGCCACTCTAGAATTAACGATATCGGATAACAATTGTTCCTGCAACTTGACTAAGCCCTCGTTTTGTGACTTTTCTCGTACGTCATCAAGGAAACTGCTGTACTTTCCAAAGTAACAAGATAGTTGGTTGAAGATCATCTTGGCAAGAGTGGTTTTCCCAATACCACCCATGCCATAAATTCCAACAAGCCGCACGCCACTGGAGTTGATGTCTAATAAAGTGTTTATGGCCGATAAGCGATCATTGATCCCAACCAAATCATCAGTCACTTTTCTTTGTCTCGACTTAAGCTTATACATAACCTCGTCAACAATCAACTTGACAAGTTCCCCATGTCTGCCACAAAATCAAACCATTGTAGTTGAGACACAGATAACAATCCATGTATGCTGCTGGACCCTCAACCAAGTAGGAGGGGATTGGCGAGACTGTTTAGAATCTCATGACCTCAAAACTTGGCTATAAAATCTAGCAGAAATATTTTCCTTATGCAACGTTAAAATTACTTTCAGCATGATTAGACTACAGCTCAAACCGAGCTGCGTGGCCTTTATTCAATCGTTATAAACTTTGTGGATGACCATGGTTAGTGTAAATCATGCATAAACAAATGTTTGTTTAGCATATAAAAGAATGATGTTCTCCACAATATGGATGCCAAACATTCATTAATTTGTGAGGACAAACAATGCACGGGAACGATATATGTAGAAATGGACAAATGGCAATATAAATAGAGCCTTCCGATGTATTGAGGCCTTAATGAAGATGGAGTTCAGAAGTCAACTGCCAAGAACTGTTTGTCTCAGAGGCATCTGCATCCTCTGTCAATTTTCCCATGGAAAAACTAATCAGAAGGTCCCCAGAGAATACTTGGGAAAGAAAACTGTAAGGGCTTTTCTCTTTCAAATAATGAAAAAAGAGTCCAGGAACAAAAAAGACTCAAAAGCTGAAGTCTTACAAGTATAAAAGTGAAAAGGATGCTTAGAACAGACAATTTTGATTTTTGAAGAAAGATTTTGATGTCTTATCGTATATAACTAGTTATTTCTCACATTTTATTAGAACAGTTCTGTTTTTCAAGAATTAGGCCTAGAAAAAGAAAAAAATTATAAATCGGTTACCCTTGATAGTTCTCCAGCTCCCATCCCTTGGTGTCATCGACTTCCCTGAGAGCCCGTCTCCACTTCTCTACTTCCTCTGGGCTGAACTTGTTCTTCTTCTGTTGCTCCAAATTCAATATTGCCTCGCTGTACAAGGCCGTTTTCAGCTTCACGTCATCGGGTTTCACGTCGTAGAAGATGGGCATTATCACCTTCTTATTTCCATCTGTTTTAGATTCAGAGGTGTTCTCCACCATCTTCGCAAGCTCGCAGAGGCACCAATGACTCGAAGCGTAGTTCTTGGAGAAGATAGGCATGTAGATCTTTGAGTTGTCGATTGCTTGCAGAAGTTCTTCACTGATTCTTTCTCCAGGTCGAAGCTCTTCATCATCCATGAAAACGCGGATCCCGGCATCGTTCATGCCATGACAGAGGGTGTTGGTAAATCCGCGACGAGTGTCGGGCCCTCTGAAACTCAGAAACACCTGATACCGAACTCCTTGTGGGTTGTATCTGCTTGTTCTGGCCTCCGAGTTTGCCATAAGGACTTGGTTTCCCCTCGTACTAGGGTCAGGTTTCGGTTTGGTTCGTCAAATGTAAAAACAGAGGCCGACAAATACGAAGGAAATTCCGCAGCAGGCCAAGATGTTTGCTTAATATACCCAGAGTTTGTCGATAAACTCGATGACATTGTTCAATTAATTACTAACAGCTGTAGACGGTATCTTTTAAGCAAAGTATAGACGGACTTTCCAAGAGTTGGTTAGATGGACATGGAGCCATATTAGACATACCTAGAATTGCGAGTTAGTATTTAAATAAGCTGACCTTGGACGGAATTTTCCAATACGAAGATGATAATGGTGAGCCTCGCAAAGTTTGCTCTTCGTTACCCTCTTCTGGTATTTCACGGTGCAATTAAAAGTTGGGAAAATTACACAAACAGTTCCTGATGTTGGCCAAATGTGCAATGTAATCCTTCAATTTTTAATTTGTTTAATGTGATCCATGAACTTTAACCTAATGTTTAATGTGGTTTCTAAACTTTTAATTTGTACAATGTCGTCCCTAAACTTTTGATAAATGTTCAATATAGTCCTTCCATTAATTTAAGTTCAGGGCTACATTGAACATGTGCCAAAAGTTCAGATACCACATTCGACAAATTAAAAGTTTAGAAACCACATTAAACATTAAGCTAAAGTTCAGGGACCATATTGCACATTAGAAAAAACTTCAAGGACTGTTTGTGTCATTATCCCTTGAACATTTGATTTCAACGGGCTCGGGCCCTTTAAAACTCAAGATGTTCTTCGCTATTTCTACGCCAAAGTCATTCCTTTCCCACCTGATATTGACATGTTTGATAGAGATATGGCAGAATATGTTGGGAAAATTGTCCAAAAAGTCGTAAACCTATTGCACTTTTGCTAATTCAGTCAAAAACCTTTCAATTTTGTCAATTGAGTCCCAAACATTTACGTGATTTGTCGATTGAGTCCAACTGGCTAATTTTAGCCAAAAATTGCTGACATGGACGCTGGTCGTCCTACGTGACGCGACCAACGCTGACATGGATAATTTTTTAATAATATTTTAATATTTTTTCTTCAATTTTTTCCTTTCTTTTTTTTTCTTTTCTTTATCTTTTTTTCTTTTTCTTTTTCTTTCCTTCTTCCTCCTCTGGCCGGCGAGGCTACTGGCAAGGTTGAGCCTCACCATCATTGGGCGAAGCGCGACCTTGCCAAATCTAGCGAGGCTGAGCCTCATCCAGCCATGTCGAGCCCGACCTCGCTGTCTCACCAATGATGGCAAGGCGCAACCTCGCTAGATCTAGCAAGGCCCGTCCTCATAGGCCTTCACCTTTGGCCGATCTTCGGTTGTTGCCAACGCCCAACAACCAGCTAGAGGAGGAAGAAGGGAAGAAAAATAAATAAATAATAAATAAATAAATTCAAAAAATATTGAAATATTATTAAAAATTATCCACATCAGCTTTTGCCGTCCTACGTGACATGACTGGTGTCCTCTTCAACGATTTTCGGTTAAAATTGGACGAATGGACTCAATTGGCAAATTGGCAAAAAGATTTAGAACTCAATTGGCAAAATTGAAAAGTTTAAAACTCAATTGACAAAAGTGCAATAAGTTTACAACTTTTTGAATAATTTTCCCGCACATGTCACCTCAGTGCAGGATTTCAAAATTTTCTCAACTTGTAAATATGGAAATTAAAAAGGATCAATGATTCCATATATCAACTACTCATGACCATGTCGGTTCAATTCCATAAAGATGAAGTCAAAGAGATTCGACCAAAAAATAAAGTCAAAGAGGACATAGAAATTTACATCTTTCACTAATTGTGCCAGACAGCCTGAAAGCCTTGTACAAAAACACAATGGACCTGACCCTGGACGAGTCTGCGGGTCTAGTCAAGGGAAAAGTTGGCAAAAGTTAACTCGGTGGAAATTTCAAAGCCCCGTCATTAGAATAAGTATGACCCTTAACTTAGATGTCAGATAACCCGGTGAGTTACCAACATTATCAGAAATTTACTAACAACCAAAAGAATCGGTGAAGGGCAATATTTTCGAAACTTTCTCCAACCAATTGAGAAGTGGGGTCGGATTATTAGCTTAGTTTTCTCCGGATTAGATGAGTGAGCAATACAGAAAATGATAAAGGATTAGCAAAGATTAATGAAAAAATGTGAGCAACTATCAGATCAATTCTACCTTATATATTTATTTTCACGGATGGCAACTTTAGCACATAACACAACCAAAACATAGGCCATTACGATCTTGACACCAATCATCTTAGAGAAGTGGCCTTATTGTTTGAAACAGTTTTCAAACATCCCTAATCATATGAAGGTAAATTGCGAGCAAAACCTTCACTCAACAACTTGTCACTTTCCCTGCAAGCATAGAGGCATCATAGACCACGTTCCTCACCAGCTTTGTACCACTCCAAGCCCTCTCAAACTTGTTACAGCCCCCTCACTCAACAACTCCACTCCCTGTTCTTTAGCCGTCATTGTGGACCACTACCTTAAGATCCCCATAAATCCATCGAAAGAAACTGTCCTTCGGTATGTCGAGTCCCATTGGGTTACCCTCAGATCCCAAACCGACACTCTCAAAAGGGAACGGCAATGTCTTGTATTGGTCGAACAAGTACCGGATGTTAGGATTCTAGTAAGGAAGTGCCGCGTCGAGGAACTTTTTTAGTATCGGATCAAAGGTAGGGCCGACTTGGATGGATTGATAGCCCCATACCACAATCATGCCCTCCGACTTGCAAAGGACACAGTTCGCGTGGGAGTAGAATTTGGGGAGGTCGAACCAATGTATGGCTTCAGCCACAGTCATATCATGGCTAACAATTCGTCGTCTGAGATGGATAGCGGAGTGTGGATGTACCGAACGCAGGGATGTAGGATGCCATGATTTAGTTGCGACTCACTCACGTCCGTGGCAATCACTTGCTAATAATGTTTTGCAACCTACATTCCGCAAGGGAAATAAAGCAATGGAAACATGTGGCCAAGGAACAACACTAATATGGATTCCTAGGCATGTCAAGTTCGATTTTACCAGCACAGAAAAAATTTGTTCTTCTGGAGAACAGAACAATATAATCGTCAGCATACAGTACTAAATTGTTTACTGCTGGCTGTGTAGCTAGCAGTTCATATAAAAAAAAGGTAGAATGAAAAAATTACATCTAGCTCAATAATAAATCAAATAGTGATAGTTTAGATTAAGAAGAAAGCAGTCCTCAAATAGCAGCATAATCACCACCGCAATCGCGCGAGGAGAGAGAGAGAGGACCCCAAGAGCAGCTTTGACCAACATCACAAGCCAAGGCGTGGCGGGGGGAGAGAGCGGCCAGCTTCTGGTACCACTCCCTCGGATATGTCGGCCTCGCATCCGCGTATATGTCGACTTGCTTATCGAACAGCCCAGCCATCACTCACTCACAGGCTCTCTCTCTCTCTCTCTCTCTCTCTCTTCTTCAACTTGAACTCGCATATATCATACGAAACTTCTCAAATAGGGATCGAGTCAGCATGCGAAAGCCATGACAATTACTTTGAGAAATTTAGAGGGACCGTACTCGACTTTAGCTTTCGTTTCCGACTTAGTAAAGTGGAGCAAGCAAAATCGAACTTGACATGCCCACTAACCCAGGTCTATGAATACTCTCTTCGCTGTGACTACTTTTATGTTTAGTCAACGAGGTTTTGGATATATGAAATCCGAGGAGAAGTGAAAAAAATGATTCTTCAAATTGTAGGAATTTCGATATTTCCGCTTTGTAAGGGTCTATGATTGAAGAATACATAAAAATTTGGCTGAGTAGTGAGAAAGATCTCTTTTTCCTGCCTTATATAAACTTTGTTCGCATGGTACCTCCCCTTGTTGAAGCTTGCCAGCTATAAGGCACAAGTTGTTTATTTTCTTTTATTTTTTGGGCCAGTAGCTATATGTTATTTGTTCAAGTAATAATTGTTGGAAAACATTCTTATGAGATTTTGATAATTACGAAACTATCTCTATCACTAATGGTTATAATGATGAGTACATATGGTGAAACAAGTTATAAATATCAATGATCCTCCGTATCAGTAATGATGAGATACTAGTCATTGATGTTTGAGAGAACAAGTACCAATAAGAGTATATTGCAGTAGCTTGAAAGGGCCAGTCAAGCTAGTGATCTTAGAAGTCCTTGGCACTGATGAAGATGGAAAGATCACTGATAGCAATATCGTGTGACTTTCAGTTGGCATTATCATTGAAGATGTCAACCTGGTCAATTAGTATTCGCACCGATGATAGTGTGTATTAGATGGATATAGTGATGTATCGGGTTTGATATGCACTAGAAGAAGACCGTTGATGGTTTAGAATATAGACGTTGAAGCACTGGATTCCGTAGCTGAAAAATCGAGTCATATAGTAGAAAAGCAGCTGACAGATTTCAGAGACAAAATTGCTGACAATGTACATTTTAGGTAATTTGCTCTAACGGTGAAGCAACTATAGAAGCAATCCCAATACTGGCATAATAGCTCCCAACATCTCTCAAATGGCTAGTTGATCGTCCTTGAAGGTCTCCAAGGGATATATTGAAGACCAAAGTATATAAAGAGCAATGATGATGTTAGAAGAAAAAAATTGGATAATAAATTTCTCAATACACTGTACTTGTCGTCTGAAGTAGAAATTGTCTCTCATCTTTCTTTGTATCTAGTTAAGCACTGTAATAGCTTATAGTCAGGTTTATAAGAATAAGTGCAGTGATTGTGTATCCCAATAGTGTGATCTATCAACTAAAAGGGGACCGCATTGGCCGATTGTAACTTGCATTGATGATTACTAATGGAATTCGACCCCTGTTAAAGTTGTTAGTCTAAGAGCGGACGTAGGCTTGGTTATAAGCCAAACTACTATACATCAATATGTGATCTATTGTCTTAACTCTGATTTACTTACCAGGATCACACTCGCTAATCCGTTTGCATCACCAT